CGGGCCCGGCCGGTCCTGCCGCGGGCAGCGGCCTGAGGGGCGCAAGGCTGCGGCCCGGGCTGTGCGCGGCCGCCGAGGGGCCCCTTCCCCTGTACCCACGCGGTGTCCCGGTGCCCCCGCACTCACTGAGGCGCGGCTGCGACAGGAAATCCCGGGTCAGGGCCGCCGCCTGCTCGCGGGGCCCGCCGGGCCCGGCGCCGTTCACGGCCCCGCGCAGCGCCCGCACCGCCGCCATCTTGGACCGACACTGCAGAGCCGCGACTGCGCACGCGCGTTATAGAGAGGGGGCAGGACACGCCCACCGTGGGGACACGCCCATTGGTACAGGCCACGCCCATCGACATAGGCCACGCCCACGGGAGCTGACCGAGGTACTGGGGGGGGGGAACGGGAATGGGAAAGGAAAAGAAAAGAAGAAAAGAAGAAAATAAATAAAATAAAATAAAATAAAATAAAATAAAATAAAATAAAATAAAATAAAATAAAATAAAATAAAATAAAAGAAAAGAAAAGAAAAGAAAAGAAAAGAAAAGAAAAGAAAAGAAAAAGGAAAAAGGAAGGAAAAGAGAAAAAGATGAAGGGAAAAGGAAAAGGAAAAGGAAAAGGAAAAGGAAAAGGAAAAGGAAAAGGAAAAGGAAAAGGAAAAGGAAAAGGAAAAGGAAAAGGAAAAGGAGGTCTCCACATGCCCTCATCACCTGAGGAGCCTGTGGCTCCGTTCCCAGGCAGCCCCAGTCCCAGCCCGGCAGTTCTGGGTTCCCTCAGCAGATGGTGGTGCTGCACCGCTCATCCTCTGCCTCCTCTCCACGCGCTGGCAAAGTCATTGCCAGGCCCAGGCATTCAGTTCTGCGCTCATGAAATATATTTAAAGGCTTCAGCTCCTGCTCTAATGCTCACCCAGGGAATTTCTGGGCAGGTTGTTCTCATCTCACCTCCTTGGCAATGGTTTTGGGCCAGGCAGGAGCAGACAAACGGCCTCAGTGGCAGATTTACATGCCAAGGGAGGGAAGGTGAAGATGTTTGGGATTTATTTCCTCCCCCTGCCGTAAATCTCCATGTCCTGAACGAATGATGGCATCACTTTTGGGGTTTAAAAATGAAATCATGGGGCAAAGTGTCAAAAGTTTAAGGCAACAGAAATGATGGAAGAAAAGAGATCCCGCTGTGAGTGGCCTTTGCAGCACCTGCCCCGTGCCTGGAGATGGTTTTCCATCCAGCTTTGCCTGGTTAATCCAAGAAATATCTCCTCGTCCCTGCAGGTAGAACTGGCAGGGAGAGGCCGTGGGGAGGTGCCCCACTGGCAGAACCCCATGGGAGGGGGAGAGGGGGGACCACAGCGAGCTGAACATCCCCCAGAGCTGTGAGAAAGCCCAGACCCAGGCAGGAGTTTGGGTGCCTGGGGCCAGCCTGGGGTTGGATGAGAGCTGGGGACAAACAGTCCTGGATCCCTCCCTCCCTCCCTCCCACCCCCAGCCCCCCGCCCTGCCCTGCTGACGCAGAGCAGAGCCAGCTGCAGGGCTCAGGGAGACCTGTTTGAGGTTCCAATTAGATCTCCACGGGCCAGGGACACTCATATCCTCTCCTGATAAAAAGGGAACCATAAATCCAGGGAGGATCCATCCACCAAGGCAGCGGCTCCGGCTCCGATGGCTGGCAGGGTAAGGGACCATTTTCCTCCAGGTTTGCAGGGAGAGGGGACAGGGGTTGTGCTGGAGGTGTTAAACTACATGTCTTTGTTGCCTCTGCTCCCTCTACCCTTCCTCTCTCTTGCATTTATTTATCCCCGTGTTCCTCTCTCGTGTTAATTCTGTTATTTGGTGTTTACTTTGGTGTTTCCTGGGAGAACCAGCCCTGCTTCCCAGCTCCGTGGCACTCACACTTGGCGGTAAAACATCTGGAGTGTTTGCTTTTTGTAATTAAAAAATGGACACCCATCACTGCCTGGGATTTCAGGAAACCACGGGGCTATTGGGAAGAGGGATAGTCCGGGCTCAGTTCCATTGATTTTGCCCCTCAGTTCTCAGCATTAATGGTTAATTGGTTGGCTTAATGCAAATTTCTGATGGGTGTTTTTGGCGTGAGCGATGCTCCCTCAGCCCTGATCTCCCTCACGTACATCAGGGCTTTGAAGTCCTGGATCTCGCCCTGACATTTCAATTAGGCCAAATCAAAAGACACGGAAGGTAAATGAATTTCCTTTGAGGCCGAATTTAATCTCCGAAGAGCAAACATGGAGTAAAAGATGTCGTGATCACCTCAGATAAGCTGGAGGCTTGATCTGTGCCTGGAGCCTTTGGGAGGAGACAGAAACGATGCCTTGGAGCAGGTACAAGACGCCTCAGGAGAGGGGAAACTGTTGGAGAATGCTCCAGCTGGGAATTTAAAAGCCAGGCTGATGAAAACATGGGCTTTGAGGGTGAAGCTGGTGGTCCCAGCTCCTGCTGGGAAAGCACACAGGTTCTGGGAATGGCACCCAGCTCCTGGGGGCACACTCAGTGCCCGGGAGCTGTGGGAGGGGTAACTTGGAGTGTTCTCCTTACAGGTGATCAGAGCCCCTCAGCCCTGAACCCAGGAGCCCCCCAGAGCCCCGGCCATGCCCCTGGCTGTGCCCCCGGACCCCCAGCACCCCCCCCGGGGCTGGCTGGCCCAGGGCAGGGGGTCCCCCAGGCTGGTGCTGGTGGTGGTGTTCGTGGCACTGCTGCTGGACAACATGCTGCTGACCGTCGTGGGTATGGGGGCTCTGGGGGGGCTGTCTTGGGGTCTCAGCTCCTCCATCGGTCTCTGGGCGATGCCAGCGTGGTCCCTGCTCAGGGCTGGGTGCTGGGAGCTCAGCTCGGCCCCGTGAGGAGCCAGAACACAAAGGACAATCCCCAACGAATCCCTTCCCGGTCTTCCCTCGCAGTGCCCATCGTCCCCACCTTCCTCTACGCCACGGAGTACAGAGGTGACAACAGCTCCGTGGCCACGGCCCAGCCCGAGCCAGCTCCTCCGGCCTCGAAGGCTCCTCCATTCTCCTCCATCTTCTCCTACTTTGACAACACCACGGTGTCCGTGCGGTGCTCTGACAGCCCCCCGGGGGTGCCCAGTGGGACGGAGAGCGGCCCCCCAGCACAGCCCCCCAGCAGCCCCCCAGCACCCCCAGGGGGCTGCCCGGAGGGGGACGAGTTCCTCACCAGGGAGAACGTCCGTGTGGGGCTGCTCTTCGCCTCCAAGGCTCTGGTGCAGCTGCTGGTCAACCCCTCCGTGGGCCTCCTGACCAACAGGTAGGTCACAGAGCCAGGTTTGTGGCCCCTCGGGGACAGGCAGGAATCACCACCACGGGCTGAGCTGCTGCAATCGTGGGATTAGAGGAACTGGGGAGGACACATCCACGAAGAGAAGCGTGAATTGTTCCTTTCCTAAGAGCCTGCACGTGCCTCGTGGGTTTATATCACAATCCAAACCTCACTAATGCTCTCCTCAGGTGCTGGCAGGTGCTGTTTAATGACAGCAAGCACCAAGTAAACAAACATAGCCTCCCAGCCCTACAGGGATGTTTTCAGATCCCCTGCAGACACGTGGGAGCTGAGCTGGGCAGTGAGGAGCCCCTGCTGAGCTGGTGCCTCTTTTTTGTTCCCTCTCCAGGATAGGATACCACATCCCCATGTTCGTGGGGTTCTCCATCATGTTCCTCTCCACAGTCAGTGAGTATTGCCCTTCCCTCTGCCCTTCCCTGGCACCAGGAGATCCTTTGGGCTGTGCCCTCTCTGCTGTCCCCGTGGAGGGGGGAGAGCAGAGCAACCCAGAAAGGAGTGACAAGAAAGGACAAGGAGCCCTCTGTCCATTTGCCCCCTCCAGTGCCCAGAGTGGTGCCAGCTGAGGCCACTCTCACCCTCTGCAGGGTGTTCAGGCCCAGCCTGACGCGGCTCTCCCCTCTCCCTGCAGTGTTTGCTTTCTCAGGCACCTACACCCTGCTGTTCATCGCCCGGGCCCTCCAAGGCGTGGGCTCCTCCTTCTCGTCAGTGGCAGGTGAATGTTTTGCCTTTGTCCCCGTGTCAGCTCCCCCTGTCTGGGTTCAATTGTCATCCCTCTCCTCCTCCTGGCTGGTGTGAACGGGGCACCCCAGAGAGGAGCCCACCCCCACGGATCCACATGTCCTCTGCTCTCTCCCCACTGCCAGGGCTGGGAATGCTGGCCAGTGTGTACACAGATGACTGGGAGAGGGGCAGAGCCATGGGGATCGCCCTGGGAGGCCTGGCCTTGGGCGTGCTGAGTAAGGACCCCTCAATCCCAGTGGGATTTAGGACAGCACCTCCATCCCCCGCAGCTTCCACCCCCCTGGACGTGCCCCTTCCCCGTCCCACGGGCTCGGCTGGATGTCCTGCTCCCTCCCCCTGCCCTCCCTCCGTGGGACCCGGCACCTTCCAAGCACACTGCCACCCCAAACACCCAGCAGGGACTCGCAGGGGGCAGCTGGGGAGGGTGGCACTGCCCTGCTGTGACACAGCCTCTCCCCTCGCAGTCGGGGCGCCCTTCGGGAGCGTCATGTACGAATTCGCGGGGAAATCGTCCCCCTTCCTGGTCCTGGCATTCCTCGCCCTCTTGGATGGAGGTGAGCAGCCAGATGGTTTAATCCTCCCCCTAAAAAAACCCCCAAGATGTGGAAAGGTTTCAGTGTGGGTGTTTCGGGGAGGATCTGAGAGAAGGAAGAACATGAACACAGAACCATCAGCACCGGTTGTTCTGTTAGTGCTAAACCCCATGTTTTCCATCTCCAGATGATTGACACAGCAATATGTAAGAATTAATCTCTCATTTTCTAATGAACCCCCCAATTGCTCTCATGGCTTGAAAGGCACGTTCAGCAAAGCTCTTTGAACTGTGAGTTCTTTGGCAAGGCTTTCCTGTCTGCAGCCTCTTCGTGCCATGAAGGAATCAGACTTTGCCAGCATAAACAGTGTCCTGTGCTTCCTCCCATCGCTGTGTCAGAGATAAAGAGCCTTCCCAGTGCCACAGCAAAGTCACAGGCAGCAGGGATGTGCCTTTTCTGTGGGAAGTGTTCAGCTAATTAAATTACAGTCCCAGTTACCATCTTTGCCCAGATGCAAGGCGAGATATCTGTAATGAAGCGTGTAAGAGCTTTTGAAAAACGAAACGTAGGCCTCATACATATCAAACTTTATGGTTTAATCCCATTCTTTCCCACATCCAATTCCTGTCATGCTCTGCTGGCCTCTCCCAGCTGGCAGCCAGGCGAGTGTGTTTGCACTTGTGACTGTTCAGGGGTTGCCAAAACCCTTCCACAACTCACTCCACTCCAGGCAGGTTTGGTGCTCCCTCCCACCTCCTGCCCCACACAGTCCCTGCATCCCCGGGGGTTCTGCTGGGGGAAAGGGTGGAGCTGAGGGCAAAGGCAGAGGGGCAGGGGGACTGAGGGGGTGCTGGCAGCAGGAACGAGCTGTGACAGCAGCGCTCTCTCCCCAGCCCTGCAGCTGTGCATCCTGCAGCCCTCCCGCGTCTGCCCGGAGGTGAGTACAGCCCTTGGCACCCCTGAGCGCTGCCAGGCGAGGGCAGGGGGCAGTGCCAGGGCCCAGGTGAGGGCACAGACAGCCCCCGAGCCCACGTAACCCCCCTGGACACCCCACAGAGCACCAAGGCTACCCCGATGTCCACCCTGCTGCGAGACCCCTACATCCTGGTGGCTGCAGGTAAAGGTGGAGGCTGGCACAGGTTGTGCTCCCCTGAGTAAAGATTCCCTGCTTGAAACAGCAGCAAGAAGTAAAGGCTCAGATGGAGCACTTCCCCCTTTTTCTCCCCACCAGGAGCCCTCTGCTTCTCCAACATGGGGGTGGCCATGCTGGAGCCCACCCTGCCCATCTGGATGATGCAAACCATGTGCTCCCCGCAGTGGCAGCTCGGTAGGTCTTGTGCTCTGCAGCCTCCACTCCCGAGCCTGACAGAGTTTAGAATCACGGGATCACTTGGGAAGGACCCCCTGAGGTCACCGAGTCCAACCTGTCACCCTACCCTGTCAACCAGACCAGAGCACTGAGTGCCACGTCCAGCTTTTTTCTTGGACACCTCTAAGAATCGAAGAATCACATCCTGCTTGGGAACTGCCAGCTGGATTGAACCATCTCTTATATCATTCCAAAAAAAAAAAAAAAGAAGGAAGCATACGACCTCACACGGGGGGGGGGGCCAGCGATCCCAGGCTGTGCTTCGCTCCAATTCCAGCTGGAAATTCCTCAGTGGCGGCTGCACAATGTGCTCTGCTCTGTTATTGGGAAAATTGCATGGAATCAGGCTCCCCACGGGAGCAGTAATGGGGAGGAGAGGCTGCTTGGGAAGCCCGTGGAAGCCCATCTTCTGCAGGGCAGATAATGGGCTCGTGCTGGGCTGCAGTGGTGGAGGCCAGATGGGCCTTGCAGGGGCTGCTCGCAGTGAAACGAGGCCGCTCAGGGCGTCCCAGGCAGGGCAGGGCAGGGCCTGCTGCTCACCAGCTGCCTGGAAAATGGGATGTGGAGATAACACCGCCTGTGTGTGCTGCAGAAATGCAAACTAATGGCTATAAAACCCAATTGGCGGAGGAATGACCCCGGGGGTGCCCCGGGCTGCACTTAGATCCCAAATTGGATTGTAGGCTGGGAGCAGGGGGGGGGTGAGATTGCTCCTGATCGAATTATCCTCTGGGCAGGCAGGAACATCCAGCCAGTAAAAGCATATGATGCTTCTTTTGAGCAAGGATGGGTGAGGGGAGAGCAGCACCCAAGGATTCTGGCAGTGGGAAGAAGGGGCAGAACTCAGGGAAAAAGGACTCAGGGCTGCCCTGTCACCACTGAGCCCCAGGGGAACGTTTGAGGTGACTTTGAGTACCCAGAGGTCAGCAGACAGCAAAGAAAATCCCAAATACATCCCCTAGAAGAATATTCAGGTACCTGAGATTTGAGAGCAGTTTGGATTTAGACACAGTTCAGCAACAAACCACCAGCTCATGAGCTGTTCTGAATGCAGGAGGCTTCTCTATTTGTCTCCTTCAGTTCACCCACTCACTCCCATAACTCTGGGAAAACAACACAGAAGAGCTTGGACTAAACCTGCAGGATTAACCAAGTTCTGTAGCTGTTAGAGAGAGGAAAGAAAATTAAACACAAATCAGTGCGTTCCAATAAGGAAGTTGTCCCAGGGAAATGGAGCTGATCAGTTTTATTTATAGTCAGCAGGAGAGTATATGAAAAATAAACAACTGGTAAAGCAGCAGGCAGAGCAAATATTTAATTTTGAGCTGCATAATGATCCCCGAGCTTTTTACTTAAGCAGTTGTTTTATTCCTCTTTATTTAGCAAATGAAAAGCAGAAGGCAAAGGGGGAAAGGTGGAGGGGGAGAAACCATCACAGGAGGATGTTCAGGTGCCTTGCCTGGCTCGTGACATTCTCCCAATGAGGCAGTGAGGGACTGAGAATTGTGCAAATGCCCTGTATTTTCTTGGGGGTGACACCCTCTCTTTGATTCCTTCCCTCTGCCAGGGATGGCGTTCCTCCCTGCCAGCATCTCCTACCTCATCGGCACCAACCTCTTCGGGGTCCTGGCCAACAGGATGGGGCGGTGAGTGGGACGCCGGAGATTTGGGCTCAGCCCAGCCCACGCTGGTGATCTCAGCACGGATCATGCTCGTGGGGTGCTGTGCAGGCTGAGAACTCCTGCCCTCTTCTCCCCTGCAGGTGGCTGTGCTCCATGGTCGGGATGGCTGTGGTGGGAGTCAGCCTCCTGTGCGTGAGTACCAGAGGCGCAATCCAAATCCTCTCTGTAGGACAAGCGGCAGGGACTGAGCTGGGCTCCGGCGTCCAGTGGTGTTGGTTTTGAAGGTCTGAGAAAGCTTCTGCAGATCTTAAGGCTGACAGAACTGGGAATGTTGAGCCTGGAAAAGGCTTTGGGGTGACCAAATTGTGGCCTTCCAGTACCTGAAGGAGCTGAAAGGAAAGATGGGGAGACACTCTTTACAAGGGTCAGGATGAGGGAGAATGGCTTCCCACTGACTGAAGAGGTTCAGATTAGAGTAGGAAGAAGTTCTGCCCTGGAAGGATGGGGAGGCCCTGGCACAGGTTGCCCAGAGAAGCTGTGGCTGCCCCATCCCTGGGAGTGTCCAAGGATAGGTTGGAGCAACCTGGGCTAGTGGAAGGTGTCCCTGCCCATGGCAGGGGACGGAACTGGATGAGCTTTAAGGTCCCTCCCAACCCAAACCATTCCATGATTCCCTGATCTACTCCATGTCTCTCCTCTCAAAGGTACCTCTGGCCACAAACATTTACGGGCTGATCGGCCCCAACGCTGGGCTGGGCTTTGCCATAGGTAAGCTGGGGGGTGCTCAGGCTGCTCCAGGGCTCTCTCCCCAGGAGAAGCAGTGCCTGACCAGCCCCTCCTCGCTCCGGGCAGGAATGGTGGACTCCTCCATGATGCCCATCATGGGTTACCTGGTGGACCTGCGCCACACCTCCGTCTACGGCACCGTCTACGCCATCGCTGACGTGGCCTTTTGCATGGGCTTTGCTGTCGGTAGATGCTCTTCTCTTATGTTTCCAAAGCGGACAAACCTCCTGCTCTCTGGGGTTTTTATCCCTTTTTGCAATGTTTTTTTTACAGGTCCCTCCACGGGCGGGGCGATTGTCGGAGCCCTGGGCTTCCCCTGGCTGATGGTCATCATTGGAGTGACCAACCTGGCCTACGCCCCGCTCTGCCTGTGCCTGCGCAGCCCCCCTGCCAAGGAGGAGAAGATGGTCAGTTTAGGGGGGGTTTTATTGGAGTAGAGGGGGTTCATAACGCAGAGATTTAGGGGAGATAAGAACACATTTGCTAGGGATTGTGTCTTCTGGTTTGGGTGCCGCTCTGCCCTCAAAAAGGGACAAAAACGTCAGATAAAGCCAGGTGAGTTTAGAGGGTCCTTCCCTTAACTCGCAGCTTGTGTTCCCTGGGGAGAAGTTGGTAACTCCTGCGAAGTGTTCAAATTAATCGCCGTTTTTACCAAAGCAGGATTTCTCCTCTCCTCCATCCAGGCAATCCTGAGCCAGGAGTGCCCCATGAAACCCAAAAGCTACACCGGGCAGAAACCCCTGCGGGAATTCCCCCTGTCGGAGGACAGCGACGTGGAGGCGGAAAACGCGGAATAGCCAGTGCAAGGATGTGTGCCCTGCTTTAAACCCAAGATTAGGGTTACAAGCACAGATCCACGAGCAGTGTGTGTATCAACCTGCCCTGGAGAACAGCGCTGTCCCAGGCACGGCCTGAGGGGAACACCAACATCTCTCGCAGTGTCCCGGGGCTTTGCGAATGTCTTTAAAAGCGCTGACTGTTCCTGAAAGAAAATGGAGTGGGAAAAAAAAAAAATTAAATCAGCTCTGGGAGAATTCTTTCTCCAGATCCTGCTCTAAACCCCAGCATGAAGCTGTTCTGTAACAACAGGGCACAATCCATCTGTGCCACCGCCGGTAAAGATGCCACTGTAATGTCACTGCTCCATGCTCCTCTGGAGACACTAAAAAAACCCAATAATTTCTTTTTTTGCTGCAGCTTGATGATGTGTCGTGCTGTTTGCGTGCTGCTCGGAGCTGCTTGTGTGTCCTTCCTTATGTACATTAAATGAATTCGTTTGTTCGGATTAGTCTTAAGAAACCGAGGTGGAAATAAGGTTCAGACTCCTACGCCAAAAAAAAAAAAAAAAAAAAGGCGCTTAGATCGGTCGTGATTAATGTTATTTTAATATATATATATATGTATACATATATTTACACACAACGCCCGCTCCTGAGGGGCCGCCATTTTAGGCCCCGCCCTCCCTTCCCGCCGTCACGTCCCGTTCCGGTAATGGCGGCGCCCTGACCGTGTGGGCCGGCACCGCTGCCCCTGTACCCGGCACCGCTGCCCCCGTCCCTGGCGCCGCCACTGCTGCCGCCGCTCCTTCACTGTCACCGCCGCCGCTGTCGCCGCCACCGCCACCATGCACTCGGACGATGTGAGCCCGCCCGCCCCTCCGCTTTGGCCCGGCCGCGCGTCCGCCCCACGTGGCCGGGGGAAGGGGGGGAGCGGCGCGTCCCCTGTCCCCAGCACCGGGGGTGGCCGATGGGCGAGAGGGAGGGATGCAGATGGGGGTTTGCCGGCAGCCGATGTGCTGCGCCCGCGCCCCTTGTGGCTCCGCAGCCTCCCCCTGCCAGTGGGGTGCCCGGTGTTTGTGGGGTTCCCCCTGAGAGCCGCGCTGGCCATGCCGGAGCGGCCGGGGGGGCCGGGTGAGGGGGGCCGGGGTGTGTCACCCGCTGCTTGTCCCCGCAGGTTGTCTGGAGCATGCTGGGGAACAGGCAGTTCTGCTCCTACAAGATGACGTGAGTTTTTTTGGGAGGGCACAGGGTGGGCTGAGCCCGGGGGGAAAGCTGTGGGAGGGAGCATCCCACCTCGGCATGTCCCCCCTTGTGCCACCACGCATGAGGGTCCCAGAGGCTGCAAGGGGCAGGTGGGCAGTGGGGTCTTCCTGCCCTTCCCTACCTAATTAATTCCCTCTCGCCCCTCTTCCAGCACCAAAACGCAGAACTTCTGTCGCAACGAGTACAACCTGACGGGGCTGTGCAACCGCTCCTCCTGCCCGCTGGCCAACAGCCAGTACGCCACCATCCGTGAGGAGAAAGGTGGGATCCATTCTCCTGGGATGCCAGGAGGGATTTCTGCCCAGAAAGGGTGATCAGACATTGGAAGGGGCTGCCCAGGGAGATGGTGGAGTCCCCACCCCTGGAGGTGTCCAAGGGAGGACTGGACGTGGCACTCAGTGCTCTGGGCTGGGGGACGAGGTAGGGATGGGGCACAGGGTGGGCTCATCCTTCCAGCCTGGATGTTCCTGTGCTCTGGCAGCTGCAGTGACCTGTGGGTGGGGAGGGGTTGAGGGGCCTGAGGGCACTGGGATGTGCTCAGTGGGATCGTGTTCCCTGTCCCCAGGTCGGTGTTACCTGTACATGAAGACGATCGAGCGGGCGGCGTTTCCCCGGCGCCTGTGGGAGCGGGTGAGCTCAGGGGAGCAGAGGGGTGACAGAGGGGGCTCTGATGGCCTTTACTGAGGGGCAGGGAGGGTGTCCCCACAACGAGAGGACACGGCCTCAAGCTGTGCCAGGGGAGGTTCAGGTTGGACATCAGGAGGAGTTTCTTCCTGGAAAGAGTTGTTAAACACTGGAAGTGCCAAGGTGGGGATCGGGCACAGGTCGGACTCTGGGAGGCCTTTTCCAACCTCAGTGATTCTGGGAGCGATGTGACTGCTCCCAGATGTCCCTGCTGTGTAACCCAGCTCTTCCCCTGTCCCCCCCAGGTCCTGCTAAACAAGAACTATGAGAAGGCTCTGGAGCAGATCGACGAGAACCTCATCTACTGGCCGCGGTTCATCCGGCACAAGTGCAAGCAGAGGTTCACCAAGATCACGCAGTACCTGATCCGCATCCGCAAGCTGACCCTCAAGAGACAGTAAGGGACAGCACTGGTGCCCCCCAGGACGCTTGCACAAGTTGCAGCCACGTTTCTAACGATGGAAGTGCTGGCTGTTGCTCCCCAGAGGGTGACAGATTCCCAACTGCCTGTTGTTCCCTGCAGGAGGAAGCTTGTCCCGCTGCGCAGGAAGATTGAGAGGCGGGAGAAAAGGCGAGAGGTAACAACGCTCCTTCTGTCCCTTCTTGTCACTGCTCCTGTGCCTCAGCCTGACACAGCTCCTCTCTCTCTCTCTCTCTGTCCATTAGGAAAAAGCCCTGATTGCTGCTCAGCTGGATAATGCCATCGAGAAGGAACTGCTGGAGAGGCTGAAGCAGGACACAGTAAGGATCCCTCTGGGAGCACACTTGAGTTTGATGTTGCCTGTGTGCAGGGTTTCAAAGCGTGCCCTCCTCCTGTGACTTATGGAAAATCCACTCATTTTTTCCAGTATGGAGACATTTACAACTTCCCCATCCACGCCTTTGACAAAGCCCTCCAACAGCAAGAGGCAGAGAGTGAGAGCGAGTCGGATGCAGAGAGGGAAGAGGAGGAGGATGAGGTAAAGCTTGCAGCCACAGCCCCATCACTCCTGCCCTGCCCTGGTGGCTCTTCTGCCATGAGTAATGACCCTGTTACGCTCAGTCGCAGCTCTGACCCTGGTTTCTTGCAGGATGTGGACACAAGGGAGTTTGTGGAAGCAGAGGACAGTGAGCTCAGTGACTTTGAGGTAGGTGAAGCACCAGGTGTAAACTCTCTGGTCATGGGTGATGGGTAAGAGCCAGGAAAATGAGATTTGTGGAAGGTACAGTCAGAGTGCAGTGTATCCACTCCACCCCAGCTCCTCTGATCAGACAGCTGGAGCCAGGGATTATAGAATGGGCTTGGAGGAGATTTTGGAAAAAGAGGAGGTTTAGTTGCACAGCTTGCTCTGATACCACTCTTGTTGCTCAATTCTTTCTCAGGACATGGATAAGTTGGAGACAAGTAGTGAGGAGGAGCAGGAAGAGGAGGAGGAAGTAGAGAAGAAAGCCTCTCACTCCAAATCTAAAGGGAAAACGCCCCTGAAAGGACCAGCCAGGAGAAAACGTCCCTACATTGAAATAGAGTATGAGGAAGAAATAGAGCCCACCACCAAAACAAAAGCAGCCTGAGGCCCCCCTGATCCCATTTTGTACTGACTGACAGGACTCCAGATCTGTCACCAGCTTTCACCATTGTGCAGGACCTTCAGTAACTCATTTTATACTCCAGATGAAAAATTTTCTCCAAGAAAAGCAGGGTTTCTGTCCCAACCCCAGGCAATGGCAGCAAGTTTGTACAACTGGATGAAGCACAGTTGTAAGGAAGACAATCCCCCACCTTCTCTACAGCCACGAAAAGCTCAGCTTGGACTGTGCTCCTGGAAGGAACCTGGCCTGGGGGGCACTGCTGCTTTGGGCCATGGCTGGAGAGGCCACACATGGCCCAGGGAGTACACACCTGTATTCTGGGGGACATGGCAGGTATGAGGCCAACAGGTGGGACACGACAGACAATAACTTTAAATAAATAAAGCAGTTTTACTGTACAAAATTGGGGTGGGCGCTGCCAGCCCCCTCACGTGCTCTCCTGCACCTTCCTGATGCACTCCCGCACACGGTTCTCCTCACAGCTGCTGTACACCCCTTCCAGCAGCACCTGGAACAAGAACAGTGTCATTCCTGGTGCCTTGGCACTGGAAAGAAAAAATTCCCAGTGGGTTTTATGGCGTTACCAACTACTGATGCTGGGGTGGGGGGAGATTGATGCTTGAGGAAGGATCTGGGCACCTGCACACCCCACACCGCCCCTCCTCAGGTGCTGAGTCCCTGACTCACCTTCACCTGCCCTCTGGAGCAGTGGTCCAGCAGGATGAGGCACTGGGTGGCCCTTTGGAGCAGGGCGGCTCTGACGGGCTGTGGTGTGGGGCCTGGGTCCGTGTGAACATCCCAGATCAGCTTCAGCAGGGCTCTGAGGAGCACGGGCAGCCTGCAGGGCATCCTGCCAGGGAGACAGCACCACAGCTCATCCCAAACCCTGCCCCAGGCCAGTGTGCCAGGAGGGGACAGACCTGGACACCCTGGGGTGGAGTGTCAGGAATGCTGTCACTGCTCCACAGAGATTTCATTTATAGCCAAGCTGATGCTTCCAGAGTTGGATCAAAATGAGGACCTGCCTTAATTTTTGGGCCAGATTTTTTAGCCAAGCAGCAATGCCAGTGACATTTTTCCTGGGACAAATCCTTCCTTAGGATTCCAGGGCCTGTTCCTCCAGCAGCAGTAAACACTGAGGACAGGGTTTGTGCTCAGGCCAGGTTTCTGTGCTCAGTGCCCGTCACCCCAGAGCGGTACCTGGGCCAGGCGTGCTCTATGGTGCACTGCAGTGTCTCCAGCATTCCCAGTCTGGCTTCTTCCTCAGGGCCATCAGACACTTCCAGGTACCCCAGGATGACCCGCTCCAGCCTCTTCAGGTGCCGTGCCACCAGGATGCCGAGTCTGCAAGGCACAGACACAGCCTGAGGGTGGAGCAGACCCTGGGATAGCGCCCTGTCCCATGGGGTCACTGCTCTCCCTCCTTACGGACACAGGCAGGGCCCCTGTGCGCTCCTGGTACCTCTCCTGCCCCCAGCAAGGGCAGGTGCCCGGGTACAGCCCTCACCTCCTGACGAAGGCGGGCAGGATGCCCACGTAGACCCTCCTCAGCGCCAGCCGGTGCTCTCCCTCCATGTGTGTCAGGACCAGCTGCAGCACCTCGTCGCAGGGGGAGCGGGCTCTCACCATGCCCTGGTGCCCCTGGTGCCGCTGGGACCGCTCCAGGACGGGCAGCAGGTCCAGCAGGCACAGCAGCACTGCCTGGTTTGGGGAGAGACAGCAGAGCTGAGCAATCCTGGTCGTGTTCTCTCCAAAACACCAACCCTCTGACCACCCCCAGCTGCTGCTGCTCCTCTGGCAGGCCCAGCTACTCCTATTCCCTCTTGCCACCTGCAATGGCCTTCCCTTTGCTTTGGTATTGCCCTGGAATCCCTGGAGTTACTTTGTCTCCAGGCCACGGGCAGATGAAAACCAAGCTCGGGTGTCCTACCTGGACGAGAGGAGCCTCCCGGGAGTAGAGGTGGTTGTAGAGGGCGTGGAACACCACCTGGGCCCTGTTGAACTGGCACAGATCCGCACCCGGCTGCAACAACACAGGGCAGAGGGTTAGTGCTGGGCACCACACCCAGCTACAGCCTAAGGAAGGGGCACAGCCCTCCCAAACCCTGGGACACCCTGTGTCAGGGCAGGCTCAGGTTGGAGATCAGGAAAAGGTTCTTCCCCCAGAGGGTGGTTGGCACTGAACAGGCTCCCCAGGGCAGTGGGCACAGCTCCAAGGCTGCCAGAGCTCCAGGAGGGTTTGGACAACGCTCTGAGGGACAGGTGGGATTGCTGGGGCGTCTGTGCAGGGGATCCGAGGTGTCCCCTCCCTCACCACGTTGAGGACGATGTGGTGCAGGCACTGCACTCCCAGGATTTTGTTCTCCTCCTGGAAGTCGTCAGAGATGAGCAGCGAGGGCGGGAGGACCCGCTCCAGGTGAGGGCCCAGCCAGGGCCGGGTGACATGGGGCAGTGTCCAGCAGAACACGTGTTTGGTGGCAGGGTTGCACTTCCAGGTGTCCCTGGAGACACAAACACCAGCTCAGGGAACGCTGGGAATAACGAGCACTGCTTTCCTGGGCAGTGGGACCACCTGACAGTAAACCCAGACTGATCCCCCCCCCAACATCTTCCATTACTGGGTATTTGCAAAGCTCCTGGCCTCTAATCGTGTTTTTTATTTATTAATAGATATTATTTGTTTACCCCCTTTATATCTGTTTGCAATGCCTGAGCTCAGTTCCCCAAAGGCTTCCAGCATTCCCCAAACAGCCTGTACCCTCCCCTCCCTACTCACTTGGTTAACTCCCTTTTCAGGAGCCCCATCACCGCTCCAAACATTCCTTCTTCATCCCCATCCTTTCCCCGCAGGAATTCAGCCACGGACGTGCAGCCTGAGGCCCGGACCAGCATCTCCAGCAGCTGCCGGGCCACAGCCCGGCTCCCCTCGGTGGTCCAGGGCCGCTCCCCGAGGTGAGTGACAGCGAAGATGTAGATGTGTCCCAGCACACGGCGCAGCGCGGCACCCACCGCGGGCGGCCCGGCGCCTTCCTGGCTCCTGGCACCCTCCAGCTTCTCCAGCAGGAGCACAAACACGGCGCCCACCTGCTCTGCCCTCTCCGCCGCCGCAGCGTGTTCCCTATCCCGGCCGGGGGGCTCCGCTCCGTCCCGCTCCCGCCCCGGCGGGGCCGCGGACTCGCCCAGCGCGGCCGCCAGCTCGCCCAGCGCCGCGGGGCAGCCGGGCCCGAGGAGGAGCCACCGCGGCTCCGCCGACTCCAGCAGCTCCCTGAGGGCCCCGGGGCCATCGGACAGCGACAGCCGGGCCTGCAGCAGCGCCTGCTCGGCCGAGGGGACCGAAGCGGGCGGCGGCGGCTGCCCGGGACCCCCCTCCGCCCTCAGGCCGCTGGCATCCATGGCGCGCCCTAAAACAGTGCTAAATACACATCCCTGCCGGCAGCAGCGCCCTGCGGGGCGCGGAGACCCCCAGAGAGACCCTCAGAAACCCTCAGACACCCCCGATCCCCTCAGCGCTTCCCTCCCCAGGAGCCCGAACTGTCGCAGAACACCCCGCTTGCCGTAAAGCAGGCGGGAGGGAGTGGGCGTGGCGCCGCGAGAATAAATTAGCATGGATGATTAGCGGTGGAAACGCTGGGAGTGAGGGGAGGTGAGGGCGAGGAGCGGGGCCTGTGAGGGGACAGGAGGCTGTGATCGGTGGTGCGGAGCGTGCTGTGGCTGCAGGAGGGGATAACCGGACATTTTTTTTTTTTTTTGGGGTCACCCTGACTTAGAGATTAGTGGCGCGGGGGTAGGTCCAGGCGTGTGGGGGTGCAGGGATGATCCTTCCGGTTCATGTCCATGATGAATGGGATGGACACGCGCCTGCGTGACGTGTGCGCCCTTCGTTACGACTGTGCACATTCCCTTCTGATCGCCGGGGGGTCCTGACGTCACCGATGACGTCATATTATACTAATGATGTAAAAAACAGCTAAAATGTGTCTGAACACATTAGTGGGAGGGCCCATGGCCATGACGTCATTCTCCTCGCCAGCGTCACCTGGGGGTGTCAAAAATCAGTGACTGGGGTGCTGGGTGACCCTGTGATGTCACTGATGATGTCATCGTCGCTCAGAAGTGTCAAAAAACCGGTGGAAATGGGCAAAGTGGGGGGCAAGCGCATAAGCGGGTGACCCCGGGGCGGGGGTCCAGTTTGGGGCCGGTTTAGGTGCTTTGGGGTCCAGTTTGGGGCCGGTTTAGGCGCTTTGGGGTAATTTCTCACGGCCTCTCTGAGGCCGTGAGAAATTACCCCAAAACGCCTAAACCGGCCCCAAACTGGGTCGCAGCCATGTGACAAGCACAGCCCGCACTGTCCCCTCACATGGGCTGGGTGGGGTCTCCCCTTCTTCTTGAGGACCACCCCAAAAACACCCCTGTGACACTTGGGGGGGTGGGGGGGGAGGAATCTCAGCATGTCCCCCCAACCCCAGACCCCTCCAGAATGGCCCCCACAACTCAGACTGGCCGGGAAAATAAAAAAAAAAAAAAAATCACCATTTAATAATTTTTGGGTTTTTTTTACACAAAACTGTACATTCCCTCCACCCCTGATGGTGCAGGGTGGGGGGGTGGGGGGAAAGATCAGGTACAAAAATACTCTGTGCAGCGCAGTGTGGGTGGGGGAAGGACACGACCCACACGGGGTGGGGGGCTCGGCTCCCCAGAGGGAAAACGCAAAAACCCCAAACAGAGCGACGACCCCCCCCCCCCATCCAGTTAAAAACCGCAGCTGGCAAATTCAGGATGAGCTGTGCCAGCCCAGGGAGGGCAATGCTGTGTGTGTCTGTGTGTGGGGAGCTGCCATCCCACAATCCCAACGACGGATCCCACGGGATGAGGCCAAGTTTGCAGCTCACACCAGCTCGTCCAGGAGGGTCCCGATGCCGGCGCGGGGCTGTGCCGGACCAGCCATGGGCTTGTTGCACATGGGGCACACGCAGCGCACCTCCAGCCACTTCACCAGGCACCTGCGGGCACGGGCACGGTGGAATTCCAGCCCTTTGCTGGGGGGAATTCCCCCCTTTCCCGAACCCCCCCCCCCACTCACTTCCTGTGGAAGGCGTGCTGGCACGGCAGCACCCCCAGCTCCTCCTTCGCCCTGAAATCCTCCAGGCACACGGCGCAGGTCTGCTGTGGGAGGTGACACCGGCGGGGAGGGCGGGTGTGAACGCGTGGGACCCGCCAGGGCTGGGGGAATCCCAGGCGTTTCCAGCTGGGAGCTCAGCCCAGTCCCCAAAACGCCTCCCAGTCCCCATCCCTGTGGTGCTGGTGCATCCACACATCCCACCCCCAGACATCCCATCCCATCCCAGCCCCAGCACATCACACCCCCATCCCAGCCTCCCCATCTGCTCCTGAGCAGGTGGGAAGTGTCCCCAGAGTTAATCCCTGCGAACCCCAAATCCTCCCCCCGAGCCGGCGGCGGCCCCGCTCACCCCATGCACGTTCAGCCTGCGGGCATCGCCCTTCAAAACCACCTGAGGGACAAGAGAAGAGAGAGAGAGAGAGTTGAGCGCCAGGAAGGATCCTCTGAACGGGGCAGGGTGAGCCCAGGGGTGGTTCTGGGCACTTTGGAAGGTGCCCTCCTGGGACGAGCAGCCTCGGGCCCCGCTGTGTCCCCTCCTGCCCACCCCAAACCCTCCCAGGCCCGTGCAGGGGTGGCCCCCGGGCGTTACCTCCTTGTACCCGAAGCGCTCGCTCTGCGCCTGGTGCCGCAGTTTGCTGCAGAGGGGGAGAGAAAGGCACCGTGAGCATTCCAGGGGCACATGAAACCGGGAGGATAGAGGGGGGGAACACGCCCTTCCCGGCCGGGATTTGGGGATAAGCAGCTCCGGGGCTGTGCCTGGGCTGGGGGAGCTGCGTGGCTGCAGGGCAGGAACGGGCAGCGGGGAGCAAGGAGGGATGGCAGCCCCGATTGTTTGCCTTAGGAAGTCGTTCACGGAGCAGGAAATGCTGGATTTCCAGCCGGCCCCGCCGTGACCTTGGGTCGGGAAAACCGCCTGGCACAGAAACCCAGCGGGAACGGGGAGGGAAGGGGCAGTTTGTGCAGCAGAGCTTCTGCTGCCAGCGAGGCACCCAGACGTGCTCCCACAGTCCCAAAAACTCGTGGGGCACACGGGCAGAGCCGGGACAGGAGCCAGGACTGAGCCAGCCGGGACTGAGCCAGCAGCTGCCTGGGCTTTGGGGTTAAAAATAACCCTCCCTGCACAGGCAGCAATGTAAAGACACATCCTCCCTCTCCCGCTCCTTCCCTGCCCGACACAATGTGTCCCTCGTGCCGTCCCCTGGAAAACAAGAGCCCCTTCCTGCGCTTCCTGCCCTGCTCCGGCCGTGGGGAACTGCGGGGACCACGATCACGGCGGGGGCTTGTCCTGCGTCCTGGGAGGGAACACGGGAAGGGCCCAGGGATGCCCACCCTCTGCCACAGCCCCCGGCTCACCTGATGAAGTAGCAGCAGAAGATGAGGCTGAGCACGAAGACGAAGATGCCGGTGCCGAAAATGACCATGTAGATGTTCAGGGGCAGGTCCTGGAAGGTGATGGGCGGCATCGTGCAGGGCTTACCGGGATAGACCAGCCCCAGGCTGCAGGAGCACCCTGGCGGGGGGAGCAGAACAATCAGTGTTGGGGGTGGAAAAAGGGGGAAAGGAGGTGAAGGTGATGTGCTGCGAGGGCAGGGAGGGCCTGGGCTGGCTCTGTCCCCTCTGGAGTTTGCAAAGTGGGCCGAGACCAATGCCAGGACATCATCCCATGAGCTGCGAAATCTGTGAGAGCTCCCCTGGAAGGGCAGCAGCCCCTCAGAGCAGCTCAGCGAGGCACCAGCAGCTGCATTTCCACAGCCACCAAACCCTCCTCTGGCAGCACAAATGCACCCCAGGCACAGTGCAGGCGGCTGGGAGACAGGGAGGCCCCGTGCTTTCATCTCCAGAGGAACACATGGAGGCTGGAAGGGGATTTAGGGAAGGACAGAGAGGGAAAAAAAAAACAACAAAAAACCACCCAGCTTGAAAAACAAGAACAGTTGGTGTCTGTCACTGCTCTGAGGGAGCAGCAGAAGCAAGTTCTGGGGACGCTGATCCAAACCCCCCTTCCCAGAAACACCACGGGTGCCAGCCCCACCCTGATGGCCAGGGCACCACGGGGAGCAGGGACAGGCAGGAGTGGGCGGCAGAAACCCTCGTGTGAGGAGGTACACCCAGGTTTGGGGGGTCTGGTCCCCTCCCTGCTGTGCTGGGGGACAGTGGGACACTGCTGGGGGACAGTGGGACACTTGCCTGGCCAGGGGAGCCCCAGCTGGGCTGAGATCCTGCCCTGGGACTCCGATTCCAGCTGTTCCCAGTGCAGTTTGGATTTTATCCCACTGATGCCATGGCCAAAGCCACCACGGGCCTGAGGACCACAGGTCCCCACAGGATCACCACCGTGCAGCTGGAGCAGCACCAGAGGAGAGCCTGGACTGTAGGAAATGGGCTTTTCCTGCCACAGAGGGCAGAGCCACTTGTAAGGAGCGGAGACAATCCATCCATCACCCACCTCGTGCCCGGGGTGGGAAAGGGAGGATTTGTTTGCTGGGTCCCTCTCTCTCTCCCCCAGCCTCCTGCTCCCAAGATTGCCAGGTGCAGGAAAGGACAATAGGAAAGGTTCTTAATTTTTTTGCCATTTCCTTGCTGGAAATGATTTGAGAAATACTCAAAAAAAAAAAAAAAAAAAAAAAAAAAAAAAAAAAAAAAAAAAAAAAAAAAAAAAAAAAAAAAAAAAAAAAAAAAAAAAGAAAATCCCCAAACAAAACAAAACAAAGCATATAGAGCTCTGAAAAAAAAAACAACCCACTGAGCAAGGACATGAGGTAATGCTGGTGCACCTGCAGGTGGGACACGGGGCTGTGAGTGGATGGAGGAAGCCCCCCACTCCAGGCTGGGCAGAGGGGTGTGGGTTGTGGTAACAATAACGGGCCACAGTGAAACAATAACCCTTCCTAGGGGTGTTTCAGGCCCTTCCCAGAACCTGCTGAGAAGCACCAGCCCCTGGGCCACACGAGTGGGGACAGAAAGAGTCCCCCAGGTAGAGCCTGGAGAGGGGAGAGGGGCTGACAGCCAGCAGGGGATGGCCTGGGCCTGCTGGTGGCCACCTGTGATGAGCTGGAAAAACCCTGGTCTGGGATAGCAGGGGAAGAATTGGGATGGGAAAACCCTTGTCAGGGATAGCAGGAGGAGAATCAGCTCCCCAGAGAGCAGGGAAAGCTGGGGTTTCCAGGAGAAGTTCCCCAAGAGAAGGGGAAGAAGAACCCCAGGAGACACAAACCCTCCCCAGCACATCCCTCTGTGCTCATCTAAGGGGCTCCAAACCCGATCACCTCCCCCAGCCATCCTCCTCTGCACAGGGCCGTCCCTTCCACCCTGTGGGGCAGAAGACACCCGAAATCCCCACAGTGGGGACACATCCACGTGGGAAAGCCACCTGGGTGCTGAGAGAAGGGCAACCAAACCATCAGCGGGCGACGCCTGAGGCGGAACACGAGACGCTGAAACAGCCCCGGAGCGAGGGAAGCAGAGAGGAGCTGACAAGTCCCTGCCAGCCACAACACAGCTAATTCTGGACTCACCAGCTCAGCAGGGTCATTCCTGTTAAAGGGGCATCCAGGAATTCGTGAGCTGCGGGGCTGTGATGCCAAAAAAGTGGCCCCAGGGAAGCGTAGCCCATGGGATGGTCCTGCCGGGACAAGCCCTGGTCCCAGCACGGCTGCTGAGCTCAGCCTGCCCAAAAAGAGAGGCCCTCCCTCCCAACTCTCCCCTCCCACCCCTCCCCAGCACAGCCTGGGGGGGTGCCTGGGTGGTTTTGATTATCACAAACCCCTCGGCCTGACGAAGGCGCTCGTATTTTTAGTTCAAGGGAAATGGATCAAATCCGGGCTCGGGCGACGCGAAATGAAGGGCTGGTGAGCACCAAAGCCCTGTCACCAGCTCGAGTCTCCCAGGACCAGAACTCCCAAAGGGCTGGAGCAGTTATTTAGTTGGGGAAAAAAAAGAAAAAATGAGAAAGGAGGGATCAGCTGATGTGTGTGAAAGTGCCCACAGACACCTGGGGACTTTCTGGGCTCTCCTCCTCCACAGAGGATGTCCAGGAAGGTGCTTTGTTCCGCCAGCAAAGTATTTTTCTCACTGAACTGCCAAAGCTTTGGCCCTTCAGACGCCACATTTTGGAGCATTTCACAGCCTTTCATGTCAGGACAGACACAAGTTTCCACCCGGACGGTGCAGGCTCAGGGTTTTTGCTGAGCAGGGCTTCTCCCTCGCCCCGATTCTCGTTCGATAAAACAAATGGAAAACTCAGCAGGTCATTAAATGAAACCATTCTTTCTCCTCCCACACAAAGGCTTGTGGGCTTTGCATCAGAAAATTGAATGCAGCTTCCATATCATTTTTTTTTGCTGTGATGCTGCAATGGGTTTCCTGCAAAAGCTGCCCCCTAAGCCAAGCAGTGTCCGTGGGGGATAACCAGCTCCCCCCAGATGATGTCACCTGGACCGCGAAGTGCTGAACCACAGGTGAAGCAACAGGAGGAAAAGCCGTGGTGCAAAGGAGGAGCTGAGATGCCGAGGCAACAGCTCGGCCCTCAGGCCGGGAGGGTGTTTTGAACGAACCTATTTAGGCTGGAAATGTGATTTCTTCGGTGGGTCTCAGACTTCTTCCCACCAACAGCCCCAGCTCTGTAAAGGTCCTTAACAGCGCCGGGCCCTGCTGATTTGCTGAATATAATTATATTTTTAGCTTCAAAAAAGCCTCAAACCCTTTCATAAATTAAACCAGCCCGGCCTTTTGTTGCTCAGGCAGGGCTTTGATGGTGGAATTCCCAGCGCGGCTTC